AATGCAACGAATTGAATAGTTTTCGTTAGTGAGCATTTGGTATGCAGGATGATGCGGTTTAGTTCTGGTCATCCTCAGCCATGTTGCCATGAGCCCGGAGACGGTAGTGCATGCCGGGTGGCCGTGGTTACTGTTGACCGCGAGCCCTATAAATTTATAAATAATGCAAATAAAATGAAGACGTCATTTTAGCACAATGAGTTTAGGAATAAAAACTATTACCTTTTATCTCGTTTAAGTGTGTCGATTTGATATTTTGGAATCAGGTGGTCTGCGGGCTTTAAAATTTCAAGGTCCTTATTTGATGCTCCTGCTATGGAAGGAAGTGTTGCTTTGAGATTTCAACCCAAAATGACTAGTACACCAGTTTCTTGTAGACGAGCCTCCTTCGCACGCGTGATGCGGTCTATAGCCGAGCGGACGCGCATCGAGTCGGCGCTGACCCTACGCTGGCAGGCGTCGGCGCTTGACTGCCTTCAGGAGGCTGCCGAGGCCTTCCTCGTGGACCTCTTCTCGAACGTGGCAATGGCGGCTGCCCACGCGAACCACGTCACCGTGAAGCTTGAGGATCTCCATCTTGTCTGCAGGTTCATCCATTTTCTTCAGTAATGCGCATCCCGCCAGACCGTGTCTCCCAACCTCCCAGGCTCCCTGATGTGTTGTGGACATTCCTATTTGTTCTTTGCACATATGTTATTGTTAGGCCTTTTATACACGTTGAAATCATGAAGAATGCATTCGCATAGTTCCTAATGTTCTTTTCTAACTTGGGTGGCGTCGCCAAACACCAAATTCCTTGGTATCAGGGTGTACATTTACTCTTCCTGAATATATACGACTGTATAAAGCACCGAGCAAATGTGCCTTCAGGAGGCCACCGAGGCCTTCCTCGTGGACTTCTTCTCGCACGCGGCGTTAGGCACGGCAGCGGGTCTGGCAGTCTACGTAACTCGAACAAGACGACCAGAATGACGATATGCGAATTCCTCGTCCTTGTCTACATAATAATACGACACGACAACAAGAAGCAATTAGCGTTAATGAAATAAAAGAAAAAACAACCGAAACAGCGCAAACTAGACCAAGACAGTGTAATTGACAAAAATCAGGATGATTAACTCACACAGCACTACCAATGGGGCGAAATATAAAATGAGGAATCGTGCATACACCACACGCGAACTTGCACACAATATTGACCAATCGACATACGATAACATGTATCCAAGTAATCAAGACATCCATATACACATAGAACGGAGCGCATTCATAACGACAAAATGAAACGATTAGCACGAAATACAAGTTGCAAGAAGTCACAGATGATTTACTTAATTACAAATGAACAAACCTGTTCGACATTTGGTTGGCTGGGCGCGCTTTCTTACGGATCGAGCAGACGAGACCGAGCTCTTCAAATCTACAGGCCTGCAAATGACCCAAAACGTAAATACTTACATGTTACATGCAAATATTTATTAATCTATTATGGGAAATATTAACGACACAAAGAGCAAGATTCGTGTAAAGAATAAAATAGGTGGAGAATGCAACGTTCTAAACAAAATATGAACCAAAATACATTAACTCGGAAAAATGATATGTTGAGAAAATAGTCGGCACAGGAGTGTTACTAAGTGACTAGTTAAATACAGAGATTGATGTACACGCCCTGAAAAGTCTATTGAATAGGCGTTTGTTTAAATAAAGTGACCAAAAGGCCAGTGCAGTTTTGAACGTCATAGGGTGGGAATTAAGGCATGTTCATGGTGCAGGACAGGACACAACATTGTCATATGCTTTCCATAATACCAAGTTAAGTAAATAAATACAAACCGCTTTTGTAGACCCTGGGGAATTAGACACTGGTGTAGTAGTCATTCCGGGTTGAAATTCCAGAGCAAGATTTCCTTGCGTAGCAGAAACGTCAAATTTTAAATTTTGAATTCCGCAGACCACCAAATAACATGACATCGAATCGACACACTAAAACGAAATAAAAGGTAATTATTTTTATTCCTAAACACATTGTGCTAAAATGACGTCTATATATTTTTTGCATTATGCATGAATTTTTAGACTTTAGAACTAAATTAAAAAAACCTTCTAGACAACAAAAAAGGCTAGAGCCTGCACGAACCTTTGTGCAGAGGCATTAGGTTTGGCCGAAAGTCAGCAACTTTTTTACATTTTGAGTCGCAACAACATTATAAAACCCATGTATTTTTAACGTTAAGCTGTGTTTGTGCTACATTTAGTAATTAATTTTTTATTTTAATTGTGTCTCTTTTTTTCTTAACATTTGTATGGAATTTACATTGATTCTACATGGAAGTACCTGGAGATCCCCTTCGAAACTTAATTCTTAAAATTTCCTTGCAGCTGTTTACAAATTGGTTTAAGCTAATAAATGCAAAAAACAAGTGGTGACTAACTCAAACTGAGAGGCTTGATTGTTTATTTTTGAGCAAAATGGTTTTTAGCCTCAGTTTTCCATGTAAAAACTTAATATTGTTACGTATTTTCAGTGTAACAGGAAATTTTCTGAGGTTTAAATTTTAAAATAGTGTTCAGATCGTCTCTTGGTTGCTAAATTAGTGTTTCTCTATGTTTTGTTACGACATGCTGCTGTGCATTTTGTGGCGCGTAGTCGCGGTGCTCGTTCGTTCCAAACGTTGTGCTAAATGGCTTGGCCAATTGTTTCTATCGCTGTTGCTGCAGCGTCGTAGGTTATTTACCTAGTTTTATGTTCGTATAGACTCTGTATGGTGTGCAAAATGTATCAGGCTTTGTCTAGTGTGAGTTTTCGTTTATGAATGATTGCTTTAGCGTGATTCTATCAAGGAATTTAACATGTTGCGGGCCCCAGCATGTGATCTTGCACCACGGCGGGGCCACAAAATTAACTTTGGCCTGATTACGCTTCTTGATATTTGCGATGAAAAAGAAGAGCGGAGAGGGCGTGGTCACAACCGTTTACTTTAGAGTTCAACCACGTCGGTGTCGTTGTGTCGTGTGTGGGGTTTGCTCGTGTGTATTTATACGCCCGGATGAGCGAGTCATGCATGCGCTAACATCGAGACCTAGGCGTTAGGTTAATCCAAGATAAATATCGGTGTGAATAAGGAGGGAGTTGAGGATTCGCGCTGCTGGCAACATGCTGCGAAAAGGGGAACCCTGTGTTGGAGGTGGAGCTACCGGATTAAGGGGTTGAATAAATTCGATTCACAACAAACTCTTTTGAAGTAGATTTGGATGAATGTAGCCCTTCCAAATGGATGGCAGAGTCAATTACACCCGCTTCCATTCTCCTTGTAGGAGGTACCACGTCTCTTAATTACACCTCATTGTTTAGTTCATATTCAGTCGAAAATAGAAGTTCTCTGTTTGCATCTACAGGCAAGTGGTCTTTTAAAACCTAGTTAACATTCATGCTTTTTGAAAACTATGTTTTAAAAAAATCATGTAGGCCCATTATTCCGCAAATGCAACCTAAATCGCGTACTTTTAACGATTACTTGTCTTTTCCAGTTATCTGCCCTGTTGCATAATAACTAGAATCTGCTTATTAAAGCATTTCTTACGCATATCGGCTAGTTATTCTCATTTTGTACGTGGTTAAAAGTGGTACAATTTTGTTCTCGAACTGCACTTACACTTACCAGATTGGAAACGAATATTTAGCAATGATTTGTTGGGGATACCTAATATCACGAGTTACCCAACAAAGATGAAGTCGGTGGAAGGACAAAGAGTCAACCGTTTATTCGAGGTCTTGACGAAGTCGCGGTTTTTGGTGGGGTTTGTGCGTGTGTATTTATAGCTCGGATGTGTGAGTCATAACTGCGCTAACATCGAGAGCTAGGCGTAATGTTAATCCAAGATACATATACATGTGAATGAAGGGGGGATTTGAGGATTTGCGCATCTGTCGCCATGCTGCGAGAAGGGGAGCCTTGTATCGGAGGCGAATCGATCGGATTAAGGAGTTAAATAAACACGATTCACAAAAGATTTTTGTGCACGATGGAAGTACAGTTATGTGTATATTATATCTCCTTTCACAACTTTTAGGGTGTGACTTGAGCCTTCCCGTATATTAAATGATTAATGCATTGCATATGCTGTGAGTTCGTTGCTAACATTGGTTTATCTTAGTTACTTTTGAAATATAACGTGCTGGGAAGAATATCTGATTTTCCTATGTAATTTTTTTTTCATGTTGGGTAAATATTTTACCGGTGAATTGCTCATGGACACTCGTCTGACCTTGGTCAAGCCCCAACTTCTTTATTTGCTAAACTTAAATGAAGTAAATTACCACTTCCATGAACGTTGAAACAAAATTAAGGTTTTGTGGTTCCGTGTAGGTAGAAGCTGTCACTTGTTTACATCAATAAGTGTTTTTCGCCTGTTTTCAGTCTCATTTATGTTGACATATGGAAGTCATTGACGGCAAGGCAAAGTTCGTTGTTGATCGGTGGATGCTGGACAAAGTGAGTGTTCGATTCTCCGTTTGCGTGCTTGTGAGGTCATGGCAATTAAGGATACTCTTCGCAGTAGCCGCATTGCATTTGTTTGACGTTGCACTAACAGTTGGAAAGCGCGATTGGTCAGTGACGTCTCCATATACCACCGTTATCGTTTACTCATCTTAAACCATTGCGTTGTCAGTTATTTTACACTGAACACCCTTGAAAAAAGCTTTTCACTCTACGGGTCTTTGTCGCATCCTCATTGGATTTGGATTTGGCTGGATTTAGCAGACATTTTACCGACCATTGATGGGTAAACAATTGCTCCCTGAGAATTTTTACGTGATTTGTTGCTTCAGATCAAAGTCTTAGGTAGAAAGTACTCTTATCGGTCTGAGGCCTATTGCATACTCCAAATTGCTGAGTACTTCTTGCTCTTATAGCACTTTACGGTTGGATACAGCCGAGTGCTTCAATGGGTACCACATTATTACTTTTTTTGCTTTTCAGAATGAGGGGGGAGGTATTTCGCGTGTGCTTCAGGATGTGGAAGTGCTCGAAAAGGCTGGGGTCAACATCAGCGTGATGACTACCACCCTCTCAGAAGCTGCTATTAAACAAATGAAGGAGAGGTTTGTGCTTGTGCTTACGCAATCACTGGAGCAATTCCCCCACCCACCTCACTGTACGTCGAAATTGAATTAGTAGAATTTAAAATGGTAGGAACAGTAGGACTGATTGTAGGTGTAGTGCGCTACATCACTGCAAATGTGAGGGCATTTTGCCCGAAGGACGGTGTGCTGAGGCCATTCTTTGTCCAAACTACGCTCTCTTTTGACTTGATTCCCTTGGTTTTAGCATTGCAGATCGAAGAACTTGGAGCGGTGGCAATTGCAAATTCACCGCCGTGGGCATCAGCTCCGTAAACCATCCTGTGAGTTGTTGGTGCTGAAACTCGCGTGCGTGGTCTTGATTGAGCACTTTTTTAAGCTTCTTGTTCATAGCTGTTTTCAAATACTTTGCTTTGATTGTAACCATATCACTGGTAAGTCTTCGACGTGCCAAATAAAGGGTCTCGACTATCAGTTTGGGGATTTGCACCAACATGCCGACTAAAACTCAACATTTTCTCAGTGCACATTTCATTGACATCAGGGAAACAAATCAAACGCACGCCTCATGCACAGGCAACATTCGCGATGCTGCTGATGTGGGGCATTTTAACGCCACACACTACTTCCGCCAAAATACCATCACAAAACAATCCCCACTGCTGTGTGTGATTGTACAAAAACAATCACATGAAGACGATGATTACGAGGGGCTCAAACAAAATGTCAGTATGGACAGTCACCAATAAATGTCAAGGCTGTTGAATCAAGCATGTTGAGCAGTGACCATGAAAATGACGAAGTATGCGAGTCCAGTAGCCTAAGCCGCCACTCCTACAATTCATGAGGAAGAGCACTCCAACACCACGACAACCACATCCACCAACAAGACATTGACGAACTAGAAATGACACACACGCACACAAACTGTATTCCTGTAAGCCAACTTCATTCTTCAATACAGTAACATCAGAGATTCACGAAGCGTTCCTAGAGAAGATTCAGAGAAATATAGTTGGAGGAATACGCACTCGGAATGGCTAAAAGAAGGCGCCAAGCCGCCATCCTCTGTGCATATATATTCGTCTCACCCAATAAAGCGACACACATAGTGTTTTCTAGCACTATGAACTACACTCATTCAGCTCCATTTGCATTCGCCAACACGCGCAGCTTAAGATGCTCCAACAGTGCTAGAAATCGCGTACTGTTTTGAGCTAAGAGGAGCATCCAGTCACTATTCTCAATACGTACTTCCTAGTCCCCTTCTGGACTGTTACGACTAAAACCCAACACGTGACCTCAGTCACAACGACGGCAGAACACGAGGTGGTGAGATCGCACATTCTGTCACACAGTCCATCAGCCACGTCTACTGTCGGATATCTCAATGCCACAATTGACTGTCTCTCAAAACTTCAATAGAAGACATTAGCCGTCATATTATGCTGCCTGGCACATTTGCTACCCAGCACTGCAGCAGCCAGCGTTTGCACATTGACTATCGAGCTGTAGGAATTACACTTTGAGTTGTGTAGAGCGTAAGCATCGGCGTAAACAGAGGAAGAAAAGGTCCGTCGTTTCTATTTGTCTTGTCAGTCACGCCTACATTTCCGACGCGAACGTTTTCCGACCTGGTAATTGGTGCTTTTCTAGTACAACTTAAATGGCGTGGTTATTAGGCGACTCACGTCTCACAAAAAAGTCACCCCTCAAGTGATTCTGTCATTCTTCAAATCTTTGAGATTTTTCTTGTAACTGGAACACCACCAGGAGCTTGAATTGGTGCGCGGAATCGTAAGGAACACTTTTCAGATTACCTCTCTGTTCCACGTTGTTCCTCCAATCTTCAGTACGGCTTCCTCCATGTTGACAGGGGCACTTCTTCGCAGACCGCCACTAGAAAAGTTACATGCATACTTTTTATTTTCACATGATGTGTTACTTTGGTTTCAACAATTCGCCGCTCAATGGAGCATTCGCATTGGCCCATTCGGTCATTTTTCATCACACCATTATGAATTGTCTTCACGGAAACACCACAAGGACAAAAATTTTTCAGCAGCAGACTACTGCAACAGATAACTTTGATTGATCAATTATATTTACTTCGGAAGCTGCCACCTTGCCCAAATTTACACGACTTGCTTTATTTGCATTTTTCTTGTTAATTTCCCGTGGACGTAAAACTGAACCAAATTTGTTGTTAATAGGGCTCGGTAATTTCTTAAGCCAATTATATTTATGTTAGATATGTTTTTCGTTTCCTGCGACTGTACTTGTGATTACTGATTGCTGCCGGCTTTCTTAAAGTCCACTTTGACCATGTGGATAATGTTTCCCAGCGACTTCTCGTTATTCTGTTTTGCAATTCACAGGCTACTCGAAACTGTTAAGTAGAAATATATTTAAACTACGGATCGTGCTAATTCGCTAGGAGAAAATATCTTGGTGAAGTGGATTATTTTAAAGTGCCTCAAATCTCCGTTAGTATTTTTAACTAATCTTTTTATTTTATAGTATCGC